ACCATCATCATTAAAAAAAAAAAAAAAAAAAAAACACGGGATGTACACTGTCCTGCTGTTGTTTTCCATCTCTAGATCATTTAATTTCATATTTTTATTGAGTATAGTTAGCAAATAATAAAGAACCTTCCTGTTTAGAACTGTAGTTAATCCGTTGCTAAAGGATCATTCCATAAAAACCTTAAATCTTCCTTAATCACTCCTTAAAATCAATAAGATCTTCCTGAATGAATTCCTAAAATCCCTGAAATCTGCCCTTATGCACCCCTAATATCCCTAAAATCTTTCTTGATCAACCTCTTATAAAATTTACTTTAAAATATCTCAACATCCCCAACAATCTTTTTCAATCAACCCCAAATGTCTTCCTTAAATTAATGACTAATATCCCTAAAAATCTACTTAAAATTGCAGATCCACTAATTGGTTTACGCAACAATGGTCGTCACTGAACACATCACTGATATTGCCGTAATTAAAAATAAATAAATAAATAAATAAAAAGTGTTGAGTTGTGATCATGCAATTACGAAATGATCTGATATTTATTCAATTGAATCTAATATAAACACATATTACATTAACATGTTATATACATTAAATGTTTGTCTTTTTTTTCCGCAGGTAGCTCATGCATGTGGAATACAAACCTTCAAATTTCCACTTTGATCTTGTGCTACAACTACTTTTTTTCCCCTGATAAATGAAAAAGAAATTCACGTAAACATAAGGTACTATCGTAGGATATTTCTATACAAAATTTAAGAATCTTTATTCCCTAATTATAAGAAAATTTTCATGCGATTTTCGGGGATCTCACTCGGAAATCTCCATATTTGTTCACATAAACATTATGTTTGCTACCTACAGTGCGATAGAGTCAGCTAATTTACATGCAGAGACTTCACAGAGAAACTAAAAAAAACAGACGGAGAAAGTCCCAGTGTCATAGGACCTTAATTTAGATTATGACTTTTTTAAAAAGAGTGCAAAACCAATATCTAATTAGTACTCAGCTTACATTCCTGAATCTCAAGGGTAAAAAACAATCTGGTTATAAAATAAGCAGAATAAATAAGCAATATTTCTCTTTTCAGCAACACCACTTGCATAATTATCAATCGGCAGGAATATACGTGGCTCTGGACTCTGTAAATATTGAAGCTCAAGGGATATATATCTACTGTGAGATGCACATGATTATAATTCCTTTTTCTTTTCTTTCTTTTCCTTTTTTTCTTCCTTCTTACTTCTTTTCTTCTTTTCTATTTTTCTTCTTTTCTTTCTTCTGCTTCCTTTTCTTCTTGCTTTTCTTCCTTCTTCTCTTCTCTTTTATTCTTCGTTTCCTTTCCTTCTTCTTTTTTTCCTTCTTCTTTCTTTCTTCTGCTTTATCCTCTTCTTTTCCTTCTTCCTTTCTTTTCTCTTCTTTTCTTATCCTTTTTCTTCTTTCCTCTCTTCTTTTCTTCTCTATTCTCTATCTTCTCCTCATCTCTTTTTTCCCATGAGAATCGGAAGGTGAAGTTAAGATGGAAATGGAAAGTTAATATTACTCATATTCGAGTAATTGGATAAGATAATGATTTTCGACAGTAATAAGAAAAAAATCCCGAAGCAGTCAAATTATTCATGCATCTCTAATGGGCGAGGAAACAGGGACTACTCTGGGCAATTTTAGATAAATTAGTCATTATGCTTTGGAATTCCTTCATTCACGAGGCGTGGAGAGTAATTCAGTATCTGCAGAAGTTCCCTTATGCTCATTTTCCAGCTCGGTAATGCTCATATATGTATAGATATATAGATGCATTCATGCGTATATATATATGGGTGTATTTGTGTATGGGTGTGTTTGTATGTATGTTTGTATGTGTTTGTTTTGTGTATGTTTGTTTGTTTTTGTGTGTGGTGTGTGTTTGTGTGTTGTGTGTGTGTGTGTGTTGTGTGTTGTGTTGTGTGTGTGTTGTGTGTGTGTGTGTGTGTTGTTGTTGTGTGTGTGCGTGTATTGACACATCAGTCATTATGAACAGATAATAAATAGTGAATAATAAGTAATAGCAGCAGGGAACGCGGAGGGAACTAGGGAACAAGCTGTCACCGGGAAATTAATCTCTTTCATCAAAAATCCAGTAATACGTTTCCCAGCAGTCCCGTAAATCGACGCGTTCAATAATAAACCGTAGACCAACAAAAATGACCATACAAAAAAAAAAAAAAAAAAAAAAAAAAAAAAATTACTTGAGAGTCTGGTCCCATTCAGAAATGATCAGGAGGGAAAAATACTACCATTAAATCCTAAAGTATGTGGTTAATGGATACAAAAACATTAGATGCCTTGAATCGTATAAGATCATAAGGTGGATAATGGTATTGGTGAAAATAATATAATTTATATCACCATCACTCGTAGGATAATAATTTACTAGTAATACTACTACTACCATTACTACTGCTATTACTTCTATCTTTATCTTTAATACTATTATCCGTCATTATTTTATCATTACTGTTGCACATTTAAAATCCTCATCATCTTTATCATTAATACTATCATTTAGTGATAATTATCATTATTATTTTATCATTACCAATTTTATCATTGATATTATCATTACTATTATTGCTCTGATTATCATTATTATCATTATTGTCGCCATTATCACTATCATTGTCATAAATATCATTCCCATAACCATTATTATCATCACCATTATCATCATAATGGTATGATGATTATCATTATATTATATTATATTATATTATCATTATATTATCATTATCATTATCCATTATCATTATCATTATATTATTATATTATTAGATTAGATGCATGTATTTACTTAAACACACACAAACTCACACGGACAAACACACACACACATATGTGTGTGTGGTGTGTGTGTAGTTATTAGTACAGAAGTACAAAAAAAGTTTTTTTACCCATTGTTTCTTTATGTACCTCACAATCACATATATTTATCATTCATTTATAAAATCTGTTTATATATTAATCAGCAAATCTAAAGAACCAGCAGATATCGGAATAGACCATTTTTACGGTACAAACAATTACCTTACATTCCTTGGTAACCAACATGTAAAGTATCCATAGTGAGACTTAATTCTTCGTTCTTAGACGTTATAAGAGACCAAGAAATACTCCAGTGGAATGTTTTGTTTGCCTATAATGTGCACATGGCTTATGGAAAAACCTAGAGGAACCCGTATGAAATAGTGAACATCAGAATTTTTTTTTATCAAGCTTTCCCTGACAGATCCAAACTTTTTTTAACGTCCGAAATGTCAAAAACTATGTCATGATAACAGGAAAGTTTCCCTTGGTTTATTTCGTTATTAGAAACAAATCAAACAATTTAAAAAAACCGGGTTGCAAAACAAAACTCTCTTTTTTTGGACCGAAATGTAAACTAGGAAAAAAAATAAAAAAGTTTGTCGGATTTTTAGCCCCTTTTCGCCTGCCAGCCACATCTCCGCTTCTTGGCATTTTTTTGTTGTGGGAGATTTCCAAGGTCTAATCCTGCCTGAGACGCGATACGGGAATCTTTGGCGATTTCAGATAATGCTTATGGATTTTGCATTCTTGCTATGCGGTAGTCGCGCGCGCGTGGGGTTCTAGCTAATGCATATATATATATATATATATAATATATATATATATATATATATATATATATATATATATATATATATATATATATATATATTATATGCATGTATACGTATATACATGTGTGTGTCTGTGTAAATATAGGTACATGCACACGTGTGTCTATATTTATATTTGTATAGTATGTATGTTTGTGTATATACTTATATATACTGTATATAATATATATATATATATATATATATATATATATATATATATATATATATATATATGTATATATATATATATATATATATATATATATATATATATATATATATATATATATATATATATATATATATATATATATGTATATATAAATATACATATATACATAAAAATCTATTTATATGTGTATGTATGTATGTATATACATATGTATCATGTATACATTTATATATATGTGCTTATAAATACACACATTTATATGTATATACATATACATGTGTGTGTGTGTGTACCTACTGTAAATGTGTGTAAATGTATATATAATATATATATATATATATATATATATATATATATATATATATATATATATATATATATATATATATATATATATATATATATATATATATATATGTGTATATATATACATGTATATATAGATAGATATACATATATGTATATCTATGTATATATATAATATATATATGTATATATATACATATGTGTGTTTGTATGTATGTGTGTAAGTGATACATTCATGTGTGTGTATATATATATATGTATATATATATATATATATATATATATATATATATATATATATATATATATATATATATATATGTATGTATTACTAATTTTGCAAATTTTGCTTGTTATTTTTTATTGTTGTTTTAATTACAGTTCCTCGATGTTTTCAGCAACATACCAAATTATGAATATATTCTGATTATTCCAATGCTGCTTATGAACAAAGATTTTTTTTTCGAAAACTTCGTATGTTTTAGATTTTAGATATCAGATGCAAAAATATCGTTAATGTTTAAGACTAAAATTGGTCGTTTTCTGGTGTATTATGTGCATTCATATATATATACATATATATATATATATATATATATATATATATATATATATATATATATATATATATGTATATATATTTCTTATTTTCTTTATATTTTTTCATATTGTGAGTTAACTTGATGTAAGCTTTAGTGATCCTACTTAATGTCGTTTTCCATGATTTTCATATTCATTTCCTATTTCAATTGCAATTTTACTTACGTGCTATTCTTTATGTTATCTTTGCCTACTTTGTGTCACATGACATACTATTCATAATTCATAGGTTTCAAGATAAGATAGAAGTTAATGCATCTTTTTATTTCGTTTCCGATTTTGGTTACAGGTTGGAGACTATTCACCAATAGTATCCATAGCCAAAAGGTCGGTAAAGGCCGTAGCCAAATGGACGGTAGAGGCCAAAACCATAGGGTCGGTAGAGGCCATAGCCATAGCCTCTGATATGAGGCTCTGGATCGGCCTCAGCTTCCCTCTTGTCGATGCCGTGGGTATGGACAGCTTCGGGACTGGCTTCACGTTTCCCTACAGCGTGTACTTGCACATGACCTCCAGGGACGCCGTAGCCATAGCCATAAGCACGGTAAGGGTGGACGTAGTGTCCAGCATGTCCGTAATGGGGTTCAGCTTCCCTCTTCTGCTCTGCTGCCACGGCGACAGCCAACAGAACCAGGACCTGGGAAAGAAGTAGGTAGGCAGTTACTTTCCTGAATGAATAATGTAACGGATTGTCGTTGATTTAATTTTATTTGCAGTTACATTTGGTTATATGATGTGAATCTTCACACATCCATCTGTATATGTATATATATTTGAGTGTGTGTGTGTATACATACATATATATAAACATATATGTATATATATATACATATACATTATATATATAATATATATATATATATATATATATATATATATATATAATATATATATATATATATATATATATATATATATATATATATACCCAATAAGGTGCGTATACCTCGAATAATGCACAGTCTAGATCCACTGATTATATGGATCCCAACCTCCCTGGTGAGCCTCAAGTAGTTATGGTCCTAATCACTCGAGGCGGCAGGGTTTCGAATTCCTGAACTGCAGAGCAGTAATCGGGCACTTTAACCCACTGAAGCATTGAGAACACACACGTTTCATGCATATATATGTATGTGTTTATGTGTGTGTGTGCATGTGTGTGTGTGTGTGTGTGTGTGTGTGTGTGTGTGTTGTGTGTGTTGTGTGTTGTGTGTGTGTGTGTGTGTGTGTGTGTGTGTGTTGTGTGTGTGTGTGTGCTGAAATGTTATGAAATCTACTAATTCTGCAAAATCCCTTGCATAAAAAGCACATACATGACGTAGAAAAGGTTTAAATGGAAATGAATGATTTCACAACGCAACGGTGTATTCTGCGCATTTCAAATACACCATAACCTGAATAACATACAAAATCAACATCAAAATACATGTTTTAGATCGTGGTAATGTCATTTATAAAAACAACCTGGTTACCGATATCAGTATCAGATACCGATACAATACGTTTTTTTTTTTTTTTTTTTTTTGTAATCTTAATCATGAAATTTTATGATAAATATAATGGAAACATGTTTGTTACAAGTGAAGCTATTCATTCCCATTCAGTTTTCAAGTAATGTAATTGAAAACTTGTAAAGAAGCAAGAAAATAATAACCTTTTTCACATAATATGGAATCACAAGGAGAAATGTGTACTTTTCTTTGTATGGAGTACTTTTACAGTTTACTCACTTAGATGCTCCCACTTGGATGTGTGTAAAGGACACACGTACTTAGTCCTAATCCCGTCTTAAAGTATAAACATTCACTTGCTTAATTTGTGGAGCTGTCAATACCATTCAGGTTCCTTTACAAAGCACTGTTATTTGTTTTTAATCTATCTTCGCGTGGTACTAAGAATTATTACACACATATATACGAGTATATAATCACATACATACACTGTGTGTAAACACACACACACACACACACAAACACACATGTATATATGAATGTATATATATAAATGTATATAAACACATACGCATATATATATATATATATATATATATATATATATATTATATATATATTATATATATTTATCCACTTATCGATCAACACACACTGCTATATGTGAAAACATAAATACATTTATTCATACATATTTGTATGATATATTATATATATATATATATATATATATATATATATATATATACATCCATACATGCATGCATGCATGCACTCACACTCACACATACATACACATCCATCTCTCTCTCTCTCTCTCTCTCTCTCTCTCTCTCTCTCTCTCTCTCTCTCTCTCTCTCTCTCTCTCTCTCTCTCTCTCTCCTCTCTCTCTCTCTCTGTCGGCACATATGTGTACATGTGTACATATATATACATATATATATACATATATATTTATATATACATTATATATACATATACATACATATATACACAGATTTATATACACATATGTAAATACATAAAGATATACTACTCAAAACAAAGTGACCCTAAATTACATACCAAATTCAAATAGTTGGCATAAGAATAACTATATATATATATATATATATATATATATATATATATATATATATATATATATATTGCACTCGTTGATTTCCTTTAACTCTTTCATAATAATAAAGTCATGACCAACAAACCAAATGCTCTGCTTACCAGGAACTTCATGGCGGAGGCTTCAGGGTGTGGAGTGGCGAAGGAAGGATGGACACGACTTATATACCATCTGACTCCGCCCACAACACCTGTGTCCTCGCCTCCGTTTGCCTGGAACAGCAGAGGGTAGATATGCAATTGCAGATCATCGTGGTGGAAATGGAAGGGCAGACTCACACCCATGCATATGTTGTGTATGTATATAAGCGAATATGTATATATGAGTGTGTAGGTATGTAAGAATGTTTCTATAGGCCATATGCTAAAAACACGCCACTAAATTTCGGCACACACATACATGTATGTTGTGTATTTGTAAGTATATAAGTGAATATGTATATATGTGTGTGTAGGTATGTAAGAATGTTTCTATAGGTCATATTATTCTAAAAACACGCCACTAAAGTTCAGGTACATGTTTAAATAATAATAAGATTATCCCTGCCACCACTCAGAATTTTGTTTTCAAGGTGCTCCGAGAAGGACCTCCTAACTGGTTTTATTCAAGGAATGGCAAGGATAACTTAGGTAAGAAAGGCCGAGGCATGGCTTAATTTTTCCTTTCAACAAGCTCTAATTCTTATACTGGGTCATTGCTGTTCTCACTTTTATGTTCATACTACTGTATTACTTTTTACCTCTTGGCTTGTTTTCTAATTTAACGAGTCTCCGGCTTTTAACATTACTTCTCTGTTCCTTTCTTTCGCATCAGTTAGTGCCTTGGGGCGAATTTGACAGCATGGTCACTCAACTGGTTCCTTCTTTTGCGCAAGAAGACTTCCATATTGTAAATTATGCCTCTGGTTGATGTTTTGTCACACATATCCTTGGACAAGTTTTATAACATACCATTTTCTCCTAGTCTTCGCTATTTCTTCAAAAATAACATTTGAAGTGCTCTGGGCTAGATCGCACACGCGCAGAAGAGAGGAAATCCATGTTATGAAGAAGAAACAAGCTGGAAAACCTTCCCGTCCGCAGCCTTACTATACCCTCAGTAACTATCCAAGATATTCAATCCAGCAATCATTGTTTTAGCTTACAATTAACATATTTTATCCCGCGAGCACTTTTATCAATGTATATACTAGATTCCTTGATGCAAAAAGTTTTTTGCATCAAACCCATGTTGACAGTTCATCTCTTTCTATGCTTCGGGTAAAATGGCATTGAAAAGATGTACATTTTGATAAACGACGAATCATTAGTATCGACATGTATGTGTGTGTGTAGTGTGTGTGTGTGTGTGTGTGTGTGTGTGTGTGTGTGTGTGTGTGTGTGTGTGTGTGTGTGTGTGTAAAGGTGCCACGAAAGTGACCATGAGAAGGGTGCCATCTCAAATGAAAATAATAAGAAAAATGATAGTGATAATAATAATTATAATAATAGATAAATAACATGCATCAGATTAAATAAAAACTCATATCAATGCGAAATGAAATCATACACACACATACATACATACATACATATATATATATATATTATATATATATATATATATAATATATATATATGAATATGTAGATAGAAATGAAGAGATACCGATTGATATGTAGAAATATATACAAACACTTATATATAGAGAGAGACAGACACACAGAAAGAGAGAGATGTTATATATGTTTATATATATATGTATATAAATATATATATATATAGATAGATAGATAGATAGATAGATAGATAGATAGATAGATAGATAGATATATATAGATATATAGAGAAATAGAGAATGTATGTATATGTGCATTTATGTATATATGTATATGAATCTGTATATATATGTGCGTGTGTGTGTGTGTAGTACATATGTGCACATAAACACACACACACAACACACACACACACACACACACACACACACACACACACACACCACATATATATATATATATATATATATATATATATATATATATATATATATATATATATATATATATATATATATATATATATATATATATATAATATATATAGTGTATATATATATGTGTGTGTGTGTGTGTGTCCATAAATGTACATATGTAATAGATGCATATACATATGTATATATATGTATATACATATATACATTATATATATATATGTGTGTGTGTGTGTGTGTGTGTGTGTGTGGTGTTTATATATACATATATGTTATATTATATGTATACTATATACATATATATATATATATATATATGTGTGTGTTGTGTGTTGTGTGTGTGTGTGTGTGTGTTGTGTGTGTGTGTGTGTGTGTGTGTGTGTGTGTGGTGTGTGTGTGTGTGTATGTGTGTGTGTGTGTGTGTGTGTGTGTGTGTGTTGTGTGTGTGTGTGTGTGTGTGTTGTGTGGTGTGTGTGTGTGTGTGTGTGTGTATGTATAGTTATTTTAAGTGGTAATACTCTTTATAAGCAGATAGATTTAAACCTTTTTTACTCTAAGAGAGAATAAGATTTGCTGTTGGTTCTTGTTGAAAACTTACCGACATATACTTTTGTAATACTATCCTTCAATCAATGTTAGAAATTATTTCATAAACAGACTTCTGATATTCCGATCAGCAATTAAATATTAGGAAATAACTGATGCTTATATATTTGCTTAGACATCCGCATTAAAACTATCATGATAATGCTCATATCCAGAAAGAAAATAAAAGGAAAACACAGGAAGTATACGGTTTGTAGGTATACCAGTCTTATGAG